CTGATTTATAGCCACAGTTTAGATATTACACGTCTTTCACCACACGTATCTTTTATACTGTCAAATAGAAATACTAGGGGACATCAACTGATATAAATAATCCACAATTGCACACAAATCATGACTACTGATTAGTAAAGCAATTATCATATTAAAAGAGTTCAACAGAGCTCAACATACTGTAAAATTAGAAATCAGTCAATGCCGCAGCCATTATATAGAATAGCATTGATCGGATGTACTAAACGTAAGCCTTGATGACAATTGATCACAATGAACTCTGCTCACAGAGGAGTCTGGTACACTAATTGAGGAGCCATCCTTAAACAGAATAATAAATAGAGGAGGAGGGGAGAGGAGAAATGGCTAAGGTGCTGCCTTTCTGTGCAGCAAAACAATAAAAAACCAAAGAACCAGGAAGGCTTCTGTATGCTGGATGTCCACTAACGTCCAAGCCTCCTTTTCAAACACCAAATGAACCTGTCAGCTCCTCACAGGTCATCTCCACAATCTGTGCCATGGCTGGGAAACCTGCTCAAAAGAGTCTGAACAACACCTCAGAAGAAACATTTCCAAAAGAAAATCACAGAAGATGCCAGAAACCCCAGAAGTCTCATCTGTGACATATGTGACCAACCTCCAGTGGTCTGCTTGAAATCAGGACTCAGACTGCACGTGTAACCAAAATTTGCTCCTTAGAGTGAGGAGCTGCCCAGGCTGCTTTTCTTGGTTTTGTTCACGGCAAGCTGCACATGGAAGAGTTTGAGTGAAACACTGTGTTATTAAATTTGGCACTAACAGTTCTCACTACAGCTCAAGGAAATGCATGCTGGTAGAAAACAAGTTCTGAACATCTTCATTATCCTGAAAACTTATTCTGAAAGTATCCCCAGCCCCAGATGAAGATCAAACAGCATCAAGCTACTGAAGAAACTAATTCCAGCAAATGTAAGTACTGTACTGCCTCCAGGAACATCCCAGGTTTGTCACCTCTACTGAGTGTTAAAATAAAATTAAATTAAATTAAAAAAAAAAAAGCACAGGGGTTAAACCCCTACCTGATTTTGAATGAACTAAAGGACAGAAGTAGTTCTGATTTTGATTTGTGACAGGGAATAGATGGCCTGGAGAAACCCCACACAGCAAAGGCTGCTGAAACTTCAAGCAAGCACAAGTTTCGCAGGGAGTAAACCACGATCAGTGCTCGAAAATGCAGTGCCCAGAGCATGCAACGTTATTTCTACGTTTTCATGGTTTCCTGGAAATGGGAGAGCAGGTTGTGCAATGTGGCAGCCGCCCTCTGGCCACAGAGAGCAATGCACAACTTTCCCGGGCATTGTCCTGGGGAAGGCTCTGAGAAGATCAGAGAAAAGAATGATAAACAACTCTTATCGTCACTTGCTGCGCCTGTTGTTGTGAGCATGTGGAATGTGTTACGGAGATTTGTTTACCAAAGGGTGATTTCTTAATTGGCCAGTGGTGATGGTGTTTGGAATCAAGGACCAGTTAGGCAAAACCGTATCAGAGTGTCGGGAAGGGCGATGGGCTTGTTAATAAGTATAATATAGTATAATTAAGCGATTGATCAGCCTTCTGGAATCACGAAGTCAATGCTAATTATATCCCCGCGGGGACCCACGCCACCGCAGTGCCAGGCAGTTTGCTGCCAGTGGCTGGACACCACCAGATGGCCCTCGTTGCATATTTCTAACGCTCAGCCATGCACCTTGAACAGCCAGCCAGACGGGAAAAGGCAGGGATGAGCATTTAAAACGTTCCCAAATGTAAGACAGCAGTAGAAAAAGCCATTCGAAGCCAAAGGAATAAAGGACTCGAGCTACACCAGTCAGTTTTGTTACAGGGAAAGATCCTTATAAAAATGAGCACACTGCCCAAGTTTCATTATGGTCCTAAAGGAGAACTTTTTAAAATATATCAGGTTTTCCATCCATACAGCCGTTAAAACAGTGATATCTTCAAGAATTAGAAGCAGCAGCTATTTTTGCTCTCTACCCCACCCACATAGCAGGAGGGAGTTACTTTATTCACTCATTCCAACCTACACTTACTTTCAACTTGTGTCTCATTTCCTCAGGCAGCTCAAGTTTGGGATGAATGCACCCTAGACCACTGTGGTTTGTTTCAGTTTCCTGATGTATTAGTGCCACAGCAACAGCTGGCATCCCTCATGTGCTTCATACATAGGTACCAGCTAGCAGCACCAAATTAAAAAGCAAGGCTACCTAGAATGTAGGTCTTCCCTGCGCTTATTAGCTGTATCATATTTAATTTGGAGATTAGGTCATCCAGTCAATTAAAAGAATAAGGCTCTTTGATTAAGGGCAAATAATGGTAAGCAATAGAGGAAATTTGTGTTCTGGAGGCATATAGCATTCACAGGCTTGTCCAAGATGATGACATGACACATCTTGTCTATGTTGTTTGCACAGCTATCAGATAATAAATACATTAAAAAATATAACAAGCAAAAACATTACTTACACTGACAGGGTTTGGGTTTTTTTTCCTTATTTGGTTTCGTTTTGGGCATTAATTGCCTGGTCCATCCAAATACTCCACTTGCTTCCATTTTAGCCTATCATTTGTCACAAATGAGCACAAGACCATGCTGCATTTGATCCTGTAAAGGTACATGGTAAAAAAGAGGAACTCTAACAGTTTTGAAACCTGGCTCCTACAAGACCAGTGAAAGATGAGTAAAGAGGAGGAGCAACATGACTGCAAGATCCTTGATTGTGAAAAATAAGCTGTTTGTCAGCTTCCCACTCATGTTGTTGTCATAAGAACATGTTCTCTTTTACTGTTACTATACCCTCCTGGTGGAGGAGAAAAACACACTTATCTGTGGAGACCTTTTGGATAATAATCAATTCCCCCATAACCTGGGCAGTCTAAGGGCAATATACAATTTCAGGTAAAAGCAATTGCCAAGGCCTCTGCTGATATATTCTGTATTTCATTTGCATTTCAAGAGAAAAGAAAGGAGGAGGTGGAAGGTAAGTAAAGAAAATAACACCAAAAAACAGAAACACTTCTTTAAAGCAGGGCAAGACAAAGTATTCTCTATTTCAAGTCAGATTGGCATTTTTACCAACTGCTAACAAAATAAATGCCACTTGTATTTGACAAGTTCATGGGTTCATCACTTGCTTTATATTACCCCATTCTATATGCAAGTACCCACTTCACAGAGTTTTCAGCTTTCTTTGCTAAGACAGCTAAAAAATGGCTGAGAAAATACTGACAATCCCACCATACTCTCACAAATGACACGTAATACTCATACATTCAGAGGTCTGAGCTTTACTTTTACACAACTTGGAGTCATAACCACAATGAGGATCACACATTCCAAGACTCCTCTTGATGAGCTGGAGAAGTGTTGCAGGACAGGAAAAAAAGGCACATAAATCTCCTAATTTCTTACAGAAGCAGAAAATTTCTCACCCAGCAGTTGTTCTTTATCTCCCCATATTTTCCTGTGTCTGGCCCCTCTTTTTCCCTATTCAGTCTCCCATTTTACTTCTGAGAACAAAGAAAGTACACAGCAGTGCATAAGAATGCTCTCAAAACTTCTCTTACTGCAGTCTCTGTTAGCAACTCTCAGAAATCAGTCACACAGAAAGACAATCTCCCAGTTTTAAACACTGGCACACCAAAAACATTTGAGAGTTGTCAAGACTTTCAATCACATTTCTTCACATTTTTATACCTAAAAAATAAATCAACAGCTTAAACAGCCATGGAAGCACATCTACTATAGTTGAGAGTAAGCAGACCTGTTCCAAATCAGGAGAGCCTGAGGCAATTTTCTTTACTGCTTGGTGGCTTTCTTTTTAACCTGGGTTTGCTAAAAGTTATGCAAAAGGGCAGATTCTCCTACTGCTTACTCATGACAGCAACACTGACTGAAATTCACATACATGTGAATGAAACACTGAAAGAAATTCACATATGTGTTGCAATGCCAGGCCTGGCCACAGAAGAGGAGAGCTCAGTTCTGTGCTACCTCTGTGCCATGTAGCTCCAGGGCAATTATCACTTCTGTTAGCCCCTCCACTGGACATTGTTTTTCTAGAGTCTCCAGGGCTGGGGAGTCGTATCTGTGCATCTGTCCCTCTGTAGGATGTATTTGTGCTCTCAAGACTGATCCTCTGTCTTTTCTGAGACTTCAGCCAATGGACTGCTGTCATGTAAACATTATTAACTGTTCTTACCAAGGTCTGTTTTAAGAGCACCTTGGCCAAAACAGCAGCTATTTGTGTGTTTCATTAGGGACATTCAGATAGTTGAAGAAGCCTGATCCTTTGATATGAGAGCTACTCACCAAGAGAGCAAATATTTTATACCAACAAATGCTATAGGAGATGGAAATATTCCCATTGCATACTTGCTCTGTTCCTGGAGGATGGGCTTGTCAGAGGCCAAATCCTCAGCCTTCACATCCAGTGGTAGCAGAAGCAAGCAGCTATCCAGAAATAACAGCAGCAGAGGACAGTGGATATCACATCATAGGTTTTCCTTAATTTGTGCAATGCATACAGACTCAAAAAGGGATCAAACAAAAAACAAAACCACAAGATATGATTTAAAAACACAGGATATTTTCTGTGACATTGTCCTTAGCTGTGACTAATTTGCCTTAGCTTCACACACCCAGACATCAGGGACATGATGCCCTGGGCACTGTTCTGCTCTTTGTCATAGCAGAAAACTTTCTACAATGCCATCCCTGGTCTTGTGACACGGAGGAGAAAGCCAGCATCTGCTTTTTCCCTCTGATATGCAACACTTCCTCTCTAACATTTCAGAAAACATATTTTGGTGAAATGCTTCATGTCTTCTGACATCAGGAGATCTATCTCTAGAGCAACATGGTTACTGTGGCTCACAGGAGCATTGCTAGTCTAAGTCACTGAGAGAGAGTCTAGCAGTACAGACGTGATTTATTATAAGTAACCATTCAAGTCCTCAAGGTATTGCAAATATTTTAAAGTCATATTTTAATGAACATAATTAATTTTACTGTAGATTCTTCTCAGCATCAGGAGAATTTTATTAGCATATTTTATGTTTTCTTATTTATAAAATTATAGTACTTTGCTTTAAATAAGGATATCTCTTCATGGTTTCCCTGTTGTGTCACATGTAAAATATCTTACAGGGACAGAAGAAAAACATGTTTGGTTTAATATAAAGCCAGTCTATTTTCTGGTAGAAATAAGTCATGGAAAAATGAGATAAAATAAATAGGATTTAGCAAACATTTCCGTTTCCCACAGATCCATTTTCTATTACTATCTGGCAATATCTTTTCTGTTGCTCTTCCTTGAAAGACTCTTTGACCTTTTTCCTTTTCAGTCCCCCATCCCTGAAAGATAAAGAGAAGAAACAGCCTTAAACTTCAGGGCCAAGGCAGGAAAACATTACTATATTTAGACGATGCAGTCAAAGCAGTTTCCACTCTTAATGTAGACATCTGTAAGACAATGCTAAGTGATTTATACTGCCAAGACTTTCAACACCACAATGCCCTTCTTTTAACCCAGCATCTAACAGGCAAGTAATTAATTTTCACCTAAAAGTGCCTGCTGTCTAGATTCACCTGTCAGCTCTGTTTCTCTCTATCTACTATATTATTCTAATTATTCTAATGTAATTGTTCAAGTAATAAAGTAACATTTTCTGAATCAGAGTCAGTATGGGTGGTGGACTACAGTGCAAACAAAGCAAGTTTTAAAAGATTCCATGTTAATATTTCAGAATACAGAATATATACAGAATACACCTTTAAAAACAATTCCAGAGGTGTTGCTTCTTACCAAGGAAGCACAGACATTCCTGCCCGAGCAGCGATGACAGCCTTGACTCTGTCAGCAAAGTGAACAGCATCTTCTTCTTCCTGAAAAAAAGATATTAATTAATTGCTTTACAACACAGACATTTTCTCTGTGCCTCACTTAAAAACTCAGGTTTTGTCAGACAGCAGGCAGTAGGGTTTGTGCCAGACCCATAAGCCAAATGTGAGCAGTTCCAGCTGATCCTGGTTTGCCTCCAAAAAGAACTACATGGGAGGCTCTCTGGTTTCTGGGACAACCTCAGACAATACACAGCCTGAAGTCCCAGGTCTGACCAGAGCAGGGGATGTATACTACATAAATCCAAGACTGCAGTGTTGCTTCCTGGGCTTTGTCCATTAAGTTACCAATAAGGATTCAGAACACCTTCTGTAGTAATGCAGACTTCCTTCCAGACAACATTTTACAAGCACTTTTAAAATATACAAAAGTGTAAGAACCTCTTTGACCATCGGTGGCAGGTACCACACATTGCAGACAATAGCCCAGCTGGTTAACACATTAAAAGCATAGGTCATGATGGAATGCTTTGTGCTGTTCCAGAAGGCATCTCCAAAGCGGGGGTCATACTGGAAGACAAGAAGAATAAGCTGCCTTGGTTTAAATCATATAAAATGTCTCTTTTTTTTGGCCACAAAGTCACAATTCAACTTATTAAATAAGGGGCAAATCTAATCACACCTCCTGAAAGCATCAGTAAATTCAGAGTAAAGTTCCAAGATTTATTACAAGTTTCTAACAGTTAATCTTTACCAGCAATGCCTAGCCTCAAACTGTGACAGACCTGTTGCAACACAACTATAGCAAAAGATTTATTCAAAACATAAAAACTTGTCATCTACATAAATGCTGACTACAAAGGCTTCCTTGACAATGTTCACACCAGTTTTAACAACTTCCATAAGATCAGGCAACATTATAGTGCCAGGAAAAGTAACTAATATTTCCAGATCTAGAGTGACCTGGCTAAAGCTACTCAGAAAGACTTGAAATTGCCAAGAAAACTGTCCTTATCCTCAGAGCACGTAGGAGCAAGGACAGAAATTACATGTTTCCCATACTGCTTAACACCACAAGTTTCTGTCTCTCAGGGCTTATTCAGTACTTTATGCACACCAAACATATCCCTTTTTAAGGCTTACACATGAACAGCTTCTCTGACATGAGAAGCGTTTTCAATCAATCCTTCCGTGTTTGGAAAACTGCAGTTACAGTACCTTGATTGCTACTGGATGGATGGTTCCTCCTACCTCAAAGCTTCCCTTCTTAAACATCATTACTGATGTGTTGTTAATGCAGGTGCCTGGTCAGAAGTAAAATAGATGAAGGGATTAATCCACTCTGAGAAAAGTATCAGGAAATTAATCCTAAACTGTCTTAAGGATACTAAGTTGCTTTAGCTCTGGAACATAATCCCAGAGCCGTATATATCTTCATTCTTTTATATGATAAAGCAAATAAACTGTCATAAAACTGTTGTAAAATACTAGAACCTGGCTTTTAATATCTCACAAGAGCTAATTAATTCTACAAACTAAAAACAAACACCTCAATTCTAAAGACTGGGCATAATAAACTGCACTCAGTGGCAAGAAGTGAGAAGAGCAAAAAAAAAAAACCAATACAGTTGCTTCTTACCTTCTGGGAAAATTAAAATGGGTAACTTGGCCTTATCTGCAATGTGTTCTCTAATTCTGTGGAGAGAAAATAAAGTTTCAGCGTATACTTCATATTTATCTTGTCCAAGAATCTAAACATTCATTACCTCTCACAAGAAAAGCCCTTGTGCAATTGCCTTTTGCACAGTCTGTTGCCTCAGCTGGAATATGTTCTGGTTTCAGGCCTTTATCTCAGTATCTCTTGCTAAAAAAGTAGATTTTCTACAAAGCTGTATGAAGTCGCATTTTAACCACAGAATGGTGGTACTTGAAGCATGTGAAAATAACTTCCCAGATTCCAGCTATGAATGCAGTCAAACTTCTCTTTAGACTGAAATATATTCCAAATTTATAGTTTTCATGCTTTCTAGGTTCACAACATCAGTTTTACATGTATCTAATGATTCTCCACATTTAGTTAAATGACAGGTCACTATCTTACTACATTTGCTGCATCACTTAAAACCACAAATATCACCACTGATGACAAACTACTACACCTGACCAGACAATAAAGCAATCACCTCACTACCTTACTTTTTCCTCACCAGGTGACGGTCTTTCATTTCCGAGCGTTCAAACAAGACATGCTGAGAGGTTTGCATGCAGGATTTTTGAATAAGTCCCATAAGCCCTCCATGTACCTGGCCAACCTGCAAAGCCCAAAAGAAACTTGTTACAAAGCAAAGACACACACACACACTTAAATGATTAAATTCTAAACAGAGATGCAACCATTTCTATGCTTATTGACAAATTATACCAATCAGCTTGGTCATAAATATGCACATGCCTGCCTGCATCTAGTTTTTTACAGTTCAGAATGTGAGTGTGAATGCTGTCAACTGTTCTATGAGATAGTTTATCCTCTTACCCAATACTACATCTATGGGCATCTCAACATTACTTATATTTACCAACTGTCTTGTTCATACCAAGGAATAGCATCCATCACTGGCCAGGATTAGGACATCCAATGGAGATGTGTGGTTGGCTACACAGATACCTCCTTCCTGTGGTTTGTTTTCCCTGCAACAACAACCATAAAAGTAATTCATTAATGTTTATTCTCCAGACTACAAGCCAAATCAGGTGGCAAGCACTGAAAAATATCTAAATGTGTGAAGACAGTACTACACCATCTACACACACCCTGCCAATACACAGCAGGGCATGTGAACATCCTGACAGAGTCTGGATGATCCAAACAGCTTTTTGGGTCAAGTTGTACCATCACCAAGTATCCAGGCAGTAATGGAATAAAAATCCTTCTCCAAAACTTGAGATGTTAAATACTGCAAGAAACACATTCTAGACTAATAAAGGGCAAGGTGGCAGCACTCACCTGTTGTGGAAATGAACAGGGCCACTCAGACATCGAACACCTAAGGTGGCACATATCATCTGGACCTGGTTGCTCAGCCAGCCTTTCACTCTAAAAGAAATGAAGCCATGGGTACATTTCTAGTTCTATGGAGTCACACAATGTAAACAATGTAATGTAAACTGTCTGAGTTATCCCCAGTTGCTGTTACTACAAAAAGCATACTAAGGCTCACACTGCATGTCTGCTTTCAGATGCTATTGCCATAACTCTCTCGCACAACAGTCTATAATTTTACAGGAGAGAAAGTCACCCCATGATAGTCCACATCTATCCTCTGGACTTCAGCAGAGTGTTCCAACTACTAGTTCAAATTCTTAAAGAAATACAGAAGAAATTCAAAGAACCCTCAGCAAACACATACCTGCCATTTGGAAACTGTCCTACTACAGTAGTGGCCAACATCAGCAACAGGATGCTGAAAACAGACAAGCAGATGCTACAAAGTAAAATAATCTTAATTATATGGCAAGAAGCAAAACTGGAGGAGTAAGCAAGAAGGTATTCTTACTTGGCTTTTTGATCTTTGATTCACAATGCTTCCTTCCAGTATTAATAGCATCTAACTAGCAACAAACTACTAGCTAATCAGCACACAAACCCCTTAATCCAGCTTTGCTGGATTTTAAAGGCAAATTAATTACTAATAAAATATATGGAATGTGAGAAATTTGCTTTTTTTTTTTTTTTAAGTGATATCTGAGTTTAGATGGCTTCTTGGAAAGGTCATGCCAGGTTCTCCTTCCTCCGCTAGCCAACAGTATATTATTTCACAACTTCTGTAAAAAGTACCATGAAATATGATGCCAGCAAACCCTATGTGGCTCACCGGAAAGGCAGCAGGAGGCAATACCGAATTAGGATGCCAGTGACCCACACAGCAGCCAGTTTCCAGCTGACATGGTGCAGGTTGGCATTGGTTCTGCTGAGGAGATTCCAGGACAGCAGCTCCTCAGAGGAGAACCGTCGAGTGACTTCATCTTCCGCAACTGCCTCACAGCCCTTCTTGGAGAAGTACATGACATCAGCAAGGCTGAAACATCCTCGGCAGCGGCCAACAACCTCCTTTTCCATGGGAGTCTCATCTCTCTGGATGATCCCTGCATGAGGAAATGAGCCTTCCTTCCACATGGTGAAATGAATAACATGGATTCCAAAGAGAGTATCAAGAAATACATATGCTTTTTAGAACAGCTCTTCTCCTACTCAAGCACAATAATGGTATTGCTATGCCTCATTTCTGTACTGACAAGTTCATTCCACAAGGAACTTCTCTAATCTTATGCTATATAACACCATATAACCTTGAGCACAACACCTACTTCATTATTGTTTACCAAATAACAATGCCACTCACACCTAGAAATGTCACCTACACACTACCAAGACAGCAGATCCTTCCTGGTGCCTTGACTCAAATTCAGGCAGAGTTTGTATGATTGTTCTTGCTGCTGTTGATTAGCTTTATTGTTTCCCAGCCATAAAAAACACCTCCCTCTGCATTTTTTTCCCTTGGAACCTTCTATCTTCCCCTATACCTTCTTCGTTAAGAGTCACTTCTCTATCAAGAAACTTGAAAGTGCCTGGATTTCTCCCTCCAGACATATGAAGCATTACACAGACACATTGTGCAGGAAGAATGACAACACATACTTGGTCTGATATTTGTAAAACTACACCCCATAGGACAGCCAAGCAGCAAGTCTCAGATATCTGCTGAGGTCACTCTGAGACCAGATTTTTATCTGGCTGATTACAGTGACTAAAATTCTCTTGGTTCATACCAGCTGACACTTGGCTTTTTTGTTTGCCCCCCCACCTTTTTTTTTTTTTTTTTTTTTTTTTTTTCCCGGACTTTTTTTTTTTTTTTTTTTTTTTTTTCTGACGGGGTGTATTGGATGACATTAAGTATACATTATAAAAATACACTTAATTTATCTTGATCAACCTACCTCCCCCTGATCAGAATCACAAAACTTTCCCTATCTGCTCTTCAGTAAAACCTTCAACTCCCAGGAAATCATCAGACCAGAAAATTATTAGCTGACAAACCAAGCAGTATACATGACTAATCACTAAAAATGGTACTACAAGTAAAAGGATAACTATGAGAATTTAACCCACTCCTCTTTGGTCAAAGAAGGAAGGAAAAATACTTGGGGGAAAAAAAATATTTGGATTTTATCCTCATGTCCAGAAAAGCGTGCAAATTATATCTGTGATCCATGGGATGCTGTAACTCTTTTATTTGAGAGCCTGGATTTTTGCATATTAGGAGTTAGAAGAAACAAAAGACAACTATGCAGAGCCATGTCAAGCACAAAGAACACTAATTCCTCTCAAACCTGTAAAGAGAGAGCTGATGGAGCCAGAAAGCAAAAAACATTTATGAAAACTAGGATGCTTCCCAAATCCTTATCAGCAATATCTTTCTCTACCCACACTAGTCTCTAATTCCTTTTATTCACAAAACTGAGAGATTATATTTTTTTTATAACATGGTTATGTATGTTTATAATTTCAATTGATATTTGCTCATCAAACTCCTTTCTAAATAAGATTGTTAAATAGCTGCCTTTTTACATGATAAATAGTGCTGTGTCCCCTTCATCCAGAGATCTTACCAGTGGAGATTAAATTTTCAGGTGCCATCGCCTTCTGCTTTTTTACTCCCTCCTCAATCTGCAGGGTGGCCCACTGTTCCAAAAACAAGAAAAGTAGATGTTGATGGTTTTCATTTCATCATTTACAGACATTCTGCAATTACTTCAGGTGAATTGTCTGAGGCTCTTTTACCCTTGCCAGGTCTAGGATTTTCATTTTTCAAATTTAGCCTGAAGGGTGCCCTGTGCACCTCCTGTTTCATTTGTTACATAGACTACCTTTTGCCATTTCCAGGAAAAATTGCTTGGCTTAAACTTCTTTTCAGGACACAGGTTTTTTTTGGGGGGGTCCAACAAATTACTGAGCTACCTATGAGACTCTATAAGATCCAATGTGTCCAAAATACACTCTTCTACAGTTAGCTTCAGGCAATAGGATTATACAAAATAATATCACTGACATTAGAGACATGCCAGAAAAATGGAACTAAAATAATTATTTTAAAGAATAAAATATACTAACTCATTTTGAGGTCATTCAAGTGGTTCTCTGACAGAAAACTGAGCAGGCAACATTTTGTGTCAATAGCATTCCAGAAGGTAGACCCTTTGGTAATTAGCTTGCGCCCTTTCCTGTATTCATTTTTTGAGCTAAACCATTTCTTCTCCTTGTATAGAACATCATAAAACTCTCCATTAGCAAAATAAAATATAAAAATATGCCTGACTTTTTAAGTTATCCTAGTTTTGAATGTTTTCATCATAAATACATAGACATGTAGCTCTCATGAGTACTAAAATCTGGCTGTTATTTATGTTAAGGTACCTGCCCTAACAAAGGGCATAGGATGCTTGAGAGTAGGCTCTGCTCATTATTAAAGGCTCAGTGACCCACTCAGTTTATGCCTTCACCTGCTATTAAGGGTTCCCATCTACAATAGATAAGGATAATCCATCTGCTTCATATAAACTCATGCTAAACACTGTATTTCCCTCTAGCTGACATGTGCAGCCACACAAGTCACCACAAACTGATCTCAAATAGTCTTCACTACATTACAACATGTCTCATGTGCAAACATCAACCAGCTTTTTGCCACCCTAAAGTTTTCCATGCCCTTTCTGTAGCTATCAAAGTTAAGTCAGTAGCAAAATGGACACTTTGCCTTGACATAACTAGGATATTTTAGTTACCCTTAGCTGACCTTTTTTTTTTTTTACCAGCCATCATAAAAGAAAAGAAAAAAGTGAAGGCAGAATAGGCTTTTATATGATATTTTAAACTCCATACAAACCATCTTTAATAACACCATAAAGCAAACGACCCCCCCAAAAAAGAAATTAAAAAAACTGCACCACAGAGCATCATTTTGTCTATACTTCCCACTTATTCTCCTGAAAAGGTCAACAGGTACATAATCTCTCAATCTTTTGCAACACATAGAGAGTCATTCAGAATGGTGGAGCCAGGGGATGTCATGAAAACAGCAACCCACACACTGAGAAATGAAAGAACATACAGAACAGGAACAGGAGCATTGCAAAAGAGAGTAAAGGCAGATGTGGCAAATTTAACCTCTTCAGAAAATACTGCTGGTCCTCATCCCTTCCCCAACATCCTTCAGGACAGTTGCGCGGCACGAGGAGGAAAAAGTATAAAACATAAAATATTTGAGATTGATAAAGCCTTCTGCCTTAGTCTTTGCTTTCCTATCTCCTGTCTACCACCCTTATCTTGCCTATCATTGTCCTCCTACATAAAAAAAGCACCTGCCAGCTGGCCAGGACTGCCAGAAATGAGCTTGCTCATACTGTCCTAAAGGATCTGGAATACCTCCAGGAGGCTGACTTTTGATTTCCAGATAGAAAAAGGGTGATAGTCACTGACCAGGCTGATTCCAAAAATACATGTTAACTAATCTAAATGAGCAAGACAAGTCAAAGCCCACAAAAATTTATAAAGCTTACTAGTAAATTATAAAATCTTTCCTCCTAGCACAGAGAAAGAGTGAGGCAAAAGTGACTGACAAACTAAATAGTCAAGACTACAAAGGCAGTGTCCAAGGAAGATGAGGAAGAGCTTTCAAAGGCTGAACAGTTACACAGGGCTCGTTAGCTTGGAAAAGAGCTGTCTGAGATGGGTTAAGAAAGGCATCTACAAAGTCTGGACTAGCACAGAGGAGGTGCTTAAGGAACAGCTATCCACTTTCTCTTCTACTACAAGAACTGAGGTTTACCATAGGAAAGCTTTGGGCAGTGTGTGAGCAAGAAAAAAGGCAATACATTTCCACAAACCATCATGGGACATTAAATTCTCCTAACTCATGGCTTGGCATAGGAGGCCGAAGAACAAACAGTGAGGAGGGAATACAGCTGTAGAGTCATCCAGGTCTTAGGCTTTCAGTCCAGCCATTGAATTGATACCTGTCAAAGCCATCTGTCTGGGTCCTACTCTGGACTAACTAACTCTGCAGTGGCTACTGTATTGTTCTGCCTTTGGTAGGTCGCGTCTGTATGTATAATTTGTTTTCCAAAATGAAATAAGGCTTTGTGATCGCCTTTGTATTGCACAGTATTGAGACAGAGCTGTCACGCTGGTCCTTGTTGCAAAACAGTAATGAAAGGATGTTTTAAATACCTTACAAAAAAACCCCACAGATGTTGCAACTAACACAGAATTTAAGTATTAAATGTAGCAACTTCATTCCTACATCTGCTGACTGAATGAGAACTCATGTTGTGTTTTCCCTCACTCCAATTTCTGAAGTGATGAGGACACAAGAAGTCCTAACACCCAACGGTTGATCTGAGCTGGATTACTGAATACTTGACAGCTTAATTCCACCAGTCCAGTTGTTTGAGCTTCCTTTAATTACATTCTAAACAAAATGAGGGTGCCCAATACTTCTTTATGTTAATTACTGTCTTCACAGGATATGACATGTGGAATGTTCATTTCCTGAAATCTCATTTCTTGCAGGATTTTTCCTCCCTTTTCTCTTTCAAGTACACCTCAATACTCCATCTTTCCATGCTAAGTAATAATTCAGTTTTGCCTCTCTTCCCATATTTTACTACTTCTCCCATATTCTCACAAAAGGTTTTTCTAATCACGCATTTCATGAACTTTTCTCAATCTTTTCCTCATGTGTGACAAAGGCTTTGGGGCAATTCTCCATGTAAAGTCTTCCACAAAGAAGGTAGGTAGGTTTTTAGCATGAACTGAAATTACCATCTAAGGTCAAGCACTTGTGACCTCCTCACCCAACAATGGTTTCTGCCTTATTTCCCCCTGCCCATCACAAACATGAACCCAGATTAAATGGTGTGTTACACTCAGTGTCTGAGAAGATGCGAGTGTCCACCCTCAGGCTGTGAAAAGGACTCACAAATCTCCTGGCTGCTCCATGTGGACTGATGAAATGGGTTGAGAAGAGTTTGTTTGGGATAAAAGCACACGTATAATTTGTTTGGGTTTTGATGGAGAGGCCAGCTAAGGATAGCCATGTATTTAAAAGCACAGCAGTGCAATTTTTCACCAGCTGAAGTGCCTGCAAAATCTGCCATACTCCAGCAGGAGGTCACAGCATACATATTCTTCCGTATCCTTGTAATACAAAATGCAAAAACTACTTGCAATTTTTAGTTGGCTGATTTCTTTTTCTCTAGAAGCAACAATGTTCCAATTTCATACAGAAGTTCAGATCTTGTAGAACTCCAGAACATTTCTTAGCAAATAGAGAGCTGCAGCCATTAAATGTGTTTCTTTGACTCTTCACAGGGCTCTGAGAGCATGGCATAGATTTCATCCTAGCAAATGCGTCTTTTTTTGCAATCACTGGAGTAACATTCCTGAAACAGCTTTGCTACTATCCTAAGATCCAACAAACCCCAGGATGGACAAAGCTCAGAGAAAAGACATTATTTACAAATAAAGTTTACAAGCATATGTGAAAGAATAACCCTAACAAAACCCAAACCATGTTCACCTTTATAATTTCCAGAAATATTTGAAGGATAAATTAAGTGTATCTTTAGACCTCGCTTAATTTGTTGGGAACAAAAAAAGTGTTTCAGAATAAAACTCAAGTTTTCAGACCCATCACTAAGTAATGAGTAATGGTGGCATATGATAAGTCACTTTGATTTCTTGACTTCACTGAAGTGTTATAGCACTGTGAATAGTGATTAGAATAACTGGAAAAGATGAAATCATGCATGGAAATAATTTTTACCTTCTGCTGCTTTTCTGTCAAGGAATCTAGATACTTGTTATTTTAGAAAGAAAATAAATCATACATTTCCTTTGAAAACAAAACTTTAAAAAATATTTCTTTTTACTTTGAAGTTCTTGATTTCAGGCTCCACTCTAATATTTTTCTCAAGCTGCTGAACATGGAAGAAAATAAAACATGCTTTTCCTCTTCTCAGTTGTAAGAAACAGATAGAAAGAAACTCCTTGGGTGAGAAGTTTTCTATTATTTTTGCTGGTCTACATAACAGACTAAGTCAAATGCAACCCAGTGGAGAGACCAGCCATAGTGCTAAAGGTTGGATTTTTGCTGAAGCATCATGCAGTTGTTTGGCACTTCCTCAAGCAGTGATATTTCTTCAGTACAGTCAATAGTGTGCTAATACATGTCTAAGCATCTTCAGCATTTCCAGCTCAGCTCTCCGGGAAGGCATCCTGTTTCACCACTCCAGAGACAGCAGGACCCACACACGGTCTCTGGGCATTATCCCATTAGCAATATCGTAGGAACACAACACCACAGCTAGAAACCAGCCAACAGCTCGCCAGGGTTTCAATGTCAGGTTGTTCATATCTCAAACAAGACTGCTTTAAAGCTGACTTATCCCAAGCTTCAGTGTTGGCTCTATTCTGGTGAAAACCCCCAAGACTCCAAGAACAGGCCCAGCAATTCCATACACAAGCTTTATCCCAGAGTTTTCCAGTCCTACCCTTTCCTCCAAAGAGCCTAGTGAGCCACATTACAAGCAAAACATAACACTCCACATGGAGTTGTGCTGTTCCTGTTATTAGCTGCTGTGGCAACAGGGAATTAGACACAAAAGGCTATAGCTGATCACATAACAATTAACTTATTTCCTTTTCAGTATGTTGATCATCCACATTGTGAGTACGAAATTATCACACTCATAACCTGTTACAAAAATTGTGGAGAGAAAAATACTTCATGTGCTTTACCTTCCTACATAAAACACACACTAAGTGGGTCAAAACATCTCTTGAAGTTGGGAAATGCACAGGAGGAAAAAAAAACAAAAAAAACAGAAATTATTTTGATGCCCACCAACTAAAGCAGTGAAGCTGTCCAAAGACAGGTTTGATAGAAGAGTAGCTCTTAATTAGGGTACAAGTAAGCATCTAATTAGCATACCACTGTCTGATTAAAAAATATTTCACATATAAAGGCTAATATTACATACAACCACAGCAGGCAGTCACTGCCCACTGACATCAGTATCTGAAAAATATAACCCCAAAATTTTGCAGTCATCTGCAAAATGATGTTCATACAGCTGAAGACAGATACTGCCCAAGAGCTCCTAATCACTATTAAAACAAATCAACAAAAACTCCCCCCGCCTGAAACAACAACAAACAAAAGAGAACATAAGAAGGATAAAAGACAATTGGCAAGGTAAGATGGTTATGATATTAACAGGATCACACTGTTATAGACATGCTCTACTGCAAAACAGATTACTCCAAGTGCTTAATAATAAGAGCAACAATAATAGTAACATGTTTTCTGCCACAAGTAGAAAGTATATTCACAGAAAGCAGGTTTATGCCAGAAGCACAAAGTCAATCTACCAGAAAATGGAAATGCTTTACTGTTCAATATGATGAATTCACAGCACCTACTTCTGGCTAGTAATGGATATCAAAAGCCAATCTTGAAAAACTAAATGGGATTTTGGCTTATAAAAAGCTCCAGCAACCTTTTATTGACAGAAGCAGGATCAGAATCTTATCCATGATCTGTTTATCTCTAGAAAAATTGCACTTTTAGAAGGTTGCACACAGATTCCTTTAAGTCTGTACAGCAGAACTTGTAACTGCTGGATCCCCCAGATTTAACTGGATGAAGCAAACACACAGAATCAGTGTTCTTGCCTGGAATATTAATTCCATGTAATTAAAACAATCCTAATAAAACCACTGAAACTTATATACATCTAAAATACATGTTTTTATTACTTACCGACTCCCACAAACTAATATATCTTTTTCTTTATACTTGTCAAGAGTATTCTACTTGCATGAAGCATTCTAACAAGCATGAACTAGAAGAAAATACCATGGAATCTCTACTTTAGCCCCAAAACCCTCAAATCAGTAGCAGATTATAAGACAGCACATAACTAAATATCATTAAAGACACTCCTCAAAATATTATAATATAAAATAAAGTTGCAAATAACACATGCAAGTTAATGGATTTTTTTTTTCTGCTGACTTTTATGGCATTTCTATCAAATGTACAGATTTTTATTTTTTTATTAAACATGTTCTGTAGCAAACACATACCTTTGAACTAATTTCTCAACTTACCTCTAACATTTCAATTACAATTTTCATATAGAAATGAGAAATCCCCAGTGACACTCGAAATATCGAAGGAAACAAAACTAATGCCACAAACAAAATCATCCAGATAGACAAAATCTTGTCTTCTGTAAGGCCACGACCTTCTCTACTTTCTTCCATGTTTGCCCCTCCAAAATGCCAACCAGCTGCCTTTCTGAGGATATATGCTCATCTGTAGTGTAGAATCTCTAACACGCTTCAAGAGACAGAGGCAAAGAAAAATTACACATTCTAAGGGAGAAGGCTGTTGCTCACTGAAGACTGACACTACTGATACTCTTAGTGATAAAGTAATTTCTTACCGTTTGTCCCACCCTAACTCCACCCACTTCCTTGTAATTGATAAGCATTTGGTCACCAGGGGAGAAGAAAGAAAAGACATGATAAGTAATAATATATGCTAGATAATTAGATGCTGCCAATAAGGAAACCTTGTCAATGAGACAACTGGTTTTCACAAGGTGTCCTGCCAATAAATTACAGTACAGAAGTAGGTGGGTGTGTTTTTCAGATCGCCTAAAAACTTCTCCTATTAATACACATGAAGCATTTCTCCAACTGATGTTTGAACAAATCTGTGACTTATTCACTCAGATTTTCTATTTCATGGTAAGATAATTGTCTTGTTTTGGTATTTGAACAAATGAGTGAAACAGAAGCTTGAAGTGCAAGTCAGGCTTTTTCTATTTTATTTTATTTTTTAATAGCACATATGAAATGAAGATGCAAGTTTCAGCAGGCAAGGACTAACAAGGCAATTAACCTGCTCCCTCCACTCTATCGCAAATTTGCCAAAAAAGCCTGTATTACAGGGTTACAAAATACACTGTGATGAAGTAACAAGCCATCTATCTTCACACATATTCAACTACAGAATTGAAATGCAATAGATAATCCTGTTTTTCCTTCTAGCCTATCAAATTTCAATAATTTAATTCAGTATTTTTTAGAAAAATACCCAGCTCAACCCCTTACATCCACCCTTCTGTCTTTTTGCATGCATCAGAGATGATATAAAGGTGATTTACTCTAGAACCTCAGGGGAGCCCACCAGCTACTTGTTTAAAACCTTCCCACAGAACAAATTAACCAACCTTGGTGGAAGGAGGATTTAGGGCACAACTTCCAAGACAATGACATGCTCGCCCACAAAAGATCTTCCTTTTGCCAATACACTGGTATGCTTGTCTGCAGCCAGGGCTGTCCTTTTAAAATATTCCCATCCTCAAGTACCATTGCTTGGTTTGCATTGCGAAGCAACTAGATGCCTTATAAATGGAAGAAGCTGCAAAGATCCTGTGTAAAATGTGCATCCAACACCGTCCAGGCTGTAAGAGAAGCACAGATGTCAGAGGGGGCTGCACCACTTCTAATTAACACCACACACCCAGGCTCCAGCACGCAGACTCCTGACACTCACAAGCCCATGCGAATCCATGGCACGCTTCTTGTGCCACATAGTGAATCCAGTAGCTTCTGTACATCCAGATTTGCTGCTGCATGACATCCCTCAGGTCTTTCAAATTACATTGCAATCTTATCCAGCAATATAACTTCTCTTTTGCATCTTTACATTACTTAGCTTCCTCACCTTTCTCTCTTCCCTTGCTGGCCACCTTCCGAGCCTTCTGCATCCTCTACAAAACCTCACTGGTTTGGTTTTTAAGTGTTTCTGCCTTCCCAATGCTCTTGCTCTCAGTGACAACCTTAAGCTCTCTCACCCCGCTGCTGCCAGATACACCATTAACCACTATTTCTCATCTGCCCTGCCAAAAGACTCCTCTAGGAAAAACACTCCATTGTAAAACAGCTTTGCTCACTCATTTCTCTTTAGCTACTATTCCTTATTCTCCTTTCTGGTCTCTTCCTCAAGCTAACACCCATTCCTTAGTGGGGCTTGCACAGCTAACACACATTCCCTAGCAGGGCCTGTGGTGGAGAGCTGGAGGAGAGGGTGTTGATCCACCTGGCAGCACCTGTGAATAGCTGCCATCAGCCTCGGCACAGGGGATCGGTATGCACAGAGTCTTAAGTGCTAAAAGCCCCGTGGGCGGGAGGGTGGAGGTAATTTCTGGGACCTGATTTGAGACAGGAAAGGTGGGCAAAATGAAGTATTGCAAGGAACAGGAAGATGTGGTGACTCACTTGGTGGGATGCCTCAGCAGCAAGTTTAGGCACAAACAAGACAGATCATTTCTTAAAAGCACAGAGGGAAAGACAGACTTGCCTAGCCTGGGTGGGAGAAAGAAGTTTCCTCTCCTGGATAAGGGAGAGTTGTTTTTCATCCTGTGAAACCATATAAAGAAAGAGCTGAAGAGTTTCTAGTAGCCTCTCTATTGAGGTGGTCAAGTCATCCGGCCCAAAGGTACTACAAGATCCATATGGCCAAGGCTCTCCTTACAATTATTCTTTGCTTTATCCATTTTGTACCTCCTGAAATAATGAAAACCATTTTGATTTCTTACTACTGTGTTACCACTGATGTCACATGGTTTGGAGAGAAAAAGAAGCAAATACACAAACAAAAAGCCCGCACCTCAACCACCCAAACTGGGAATGACACCAAATTCAAGGAGATTCTGCACATCTACCTATTAACAATATGGAAAAACATTGTAATTAGACGGAAAATTGTCCCAAAACTATCAAAGGAATAAACCTGAGTACTGGAACTTGTCCAATTATGACCAAGGAGTTTAATCTTGTTAAATTTCTGCCACAAATATCTGCTTAAGCTTCTAAAGCATCCTTCTGCTCTTGAGACCATAAGCATAAAAACAACTGAGACCTGGTGGTCAACTCCAAAGCATTTGAGACTGCTATAGAAGTGAATATGGATTTGAATTTTATCTCTGCCCTGAATGAAGGTAATGAATTTGCTCATGATGTGAAGAAGAAAGGAAATTCTTTATTTCTTCAAGCAATTCATAAAATGCTTCCTATTTTGGTCATAAATTTGGCATAGCTTTTTGCACCATAACACAATAATTGATGACGATATAATAGTAATTATTATTATTTCAGAAGAGCCATAAAATGTCATTTTTGTCAAATTCCAATGTGAATAGATATGCATCCAACACTAAGCTGAATAACTACAGTTTGTAATGTGACTACATAAATTTCCTCAGCAAAATAATTTATTTCAGAATTATTTCTGCCATCCACTGACTAAACAAAGATTATGCATGTCATTCTCCTGCCCTTTTTGTCCATATTACCAAGAGCCAACCTGCTGCATCACATCTGTTAAGAAGATGTGAGAGAGCTTATCCAGAAGAGGGAAAGTATTACAAATAATGCAAATAAACATGCAGCAACAAAATGTAGCATTCTTTTTTTTTTTTTTTTTAAGGTCCAGTAAATAACAAGTGATGAATTTATACCAAATAACCACTTTTTTATTATGAAGTACCCATATGTCAGGAAAAGCCACCAGAAAATGTGCAAAACTCTCTGTCCATTTGGAAAAATGGAACCCAACTTAGAAGGAAGTGATGTGGGTGACAGGAGGAATCCAAGAGAAAAGCTTCTTTAGTTCAATGAATCTCAAATTACACCTACAAGTATAATAAATTCACTTGAAACAACTTCTGGTCTCCTAGGAAAATGACAAGGAGATGGAATGGATATCAGCTGCCTACTCTAGGTTCTAGATCCTTTGAGGTCGTTCTGGTAATTTCATATTGCAAAACATTGTCTATTGCCTAATTGCCAATTGTCGGAGGGAACTGGAATTACAACCCATTTATTTTTCCAGTGCAAGAAGAAGCAAACACAGCACGGACCTGTGTCTATTTGTACTGCCTCACATGGAAGGGTTAAATCAGGTATAAACAGCCCTTTCCTGCAGCGCAGTCAGCTCTTAAGCAGGTTCAAATACACTGTGAACAGATAAACAGCTGCAGTGGGAGGTGATAGCTTTCAAGGAGTGCTACTATGGTTTTGCATTCCCTTTGATACACAAGGGGAACCCAGCCTGGAAATAGCGCTTGCCAAGGTCATCAAAAAGAAGGAATCACACAGTCACAGAAATTTTGGCAACCACTCTTTCCAGGTATGCTTCCTTCCTGTCCAACAGTAACCATTTCAGTGACTCCAAGGGGATGTCAGGAGAGAGTCTGCAGCCTCCATTTCTTGTACCGCCTTTCTTATCAGACCACTCAAACATCACATGTCCCCAGCAGATACTGCTCCAAAGGAGCACTGGCACATTAGTTTCAGACAGGTGGTGCTTCAGATGCTGAAGTAACACACTCCCTAAGGATTAACAAAGGGATATTTCAACCTGAGGCAAATTACAGTTGTAGTGTGTTTTTTCTTTAATTTGATATTTGTTCAGCGTCTGTTCACCCTACCTCTCCCTAACCTACTCCCCTCCCCTGTTGTCAATCTTCCCTAGCTCTTCCCTAACTCCCTCCTCTCCAAGTTGTCAATCCTCCCTTTCCCTGCTTCTTTCCCCAGAACATTCCCTGTCATTCCTCCTAGTCCCCTCCCCTGCTTCCAGAGCCTTCCCTGTCTATTTAGTGAGGCTCAACACCCTATTGCTTATTTTGTGTTACTCCACTCCCCTGTTTCCCCTGATAGGTTTGTGCTATGTTAGTCCCTCCTTAGACTCCTCCCCAGCCCTACCCTCATTGGTTGCTGTTCCTATACCCCGCCTCTTGAGTTCCTGTATAAAACCTTTGTTTGCCCTCCCTGGAGGGTGTTGGGGCTCACTGAATAAAACCATCATGTTCATCTCGAGATCCCATGTTGCCTTTGTCTGTCCCCACACCAAGAACTGGGACTGCAGAGCTCACAGGGGGAGCGGCCGCCCGTTCTCTTCCCTCGCCGCCAAGCACGGCACCGCTCGGGGTATCACAGCGTGAGGAGCAGCCCGCGATACAACATACAGTGATTGTGACTGTCAGCGAAGGTCAGCCTTCTATCATTTGATCCTTTTTTTAGGAAATATACAGAGTATAATTTTTACCTGTTTGGAGTAGCAACATTGTCCAAAGCTGCTTGCAGCCAGTATACAGAAATACATCCTGACATTGTCATTAGGCATGGGAAGATGTAATTATTGTTAAAATTACTCTTCTGACACCAGTTGTAGGGCTCCCTGGTATTTGTCTGTGAGCTTTGCCATGCTACAAAGCAGACTGATCTTTTTAGAAAAGCCTTGTAAATTGATGACACAGAGTCAGAAAGGGCTGATTTGCCAGCATCATTTAATGTCCAAGGATACCAGGATCATGTTTTTCAGGACAAGAAAATGTTCCAACAGGACTGATCAGAACATTCTACACCCCAGTAATTCTGCTGAGTGTACTCAGAATGAAAACTACTAAGACCATCTCTTTTTTCAACTAAACTTTAACCAGCTACAACAACAACAAAAAGCCTTTTTTAGTTTTGCTTATGTCTTCTCAATGTTTCAACCCCACATTTATCAAATTCCTTACATGATTGCTACTCAAGGGTGAAACAATCTCTGGTAGATTTGTTTTGATATCTATCAAGACTGAGGTTCATGCTTTACACATGGAAAATTCTCCAAAAGGCCAGAATAACCTTAGAGGTCACCTATTGCATAGTAAGCAGTGTCAGGTGCAATATTTATTTATGAAAAACACACTGTCTTCATGCACTGAAGTGCAAATATATGCTTCTCTGCATTCTCACTCGGAGTTATGTCTGCTACTCTTTAGGTCTTTATAGAATCCATCTATGCCAGCAAACAGGAGCATGTTTATATCTGACCACAGTAAGATTGTGCTAGTTACGCTTTTATCTTTGGCCATCAACAGATGAATTATGACTGAAGAAAAAAACACTGAAGAAGTATCTTTAACTACTGTAACACTCATTAGGATGCCTGTAACACATTTAGCTCTGACTACAGAAGCATTATTGTTTCTACACAAGATAAATTCAACAATTACAGAAAGTTATTTATTGTATCCTGTGGCTAACAACAGGCTTGAGTCTTTGTATCTCAAAACAGGGAAATCCACTACTGTTCTGATTACATTTGTTTGTCTCAGCAATGTATAAATACCCACAGATGTGTAGGCATTGCACGGCTGTCAGTATTTATCTCATATATTGTCCATATAAATCGTGTTTGTGTATCGTTGACGCTGAATGCAATAAATTAATTTGTCAATGCCTAACACTTACTGCATTGATTAAATGCATACAATTTTCTCCCAGGTCTGGCTTAGGAATGACTGCAAGCACAACACAGGGTCTTCTGGGGGAATTCCAGAACTGAAGGACCATTTAGTTCCACTTTCAACGTGTCCTCCCCAAACAGCTAAAGAAGCTTGTCATATCATCTGTTCTTCTTGTCTCTACCACAGCAACATAGTCCATAATGGAATCATTTGTAGTAATATATCCCTTTAGATGTGTTGTACTTGTTACCCATTTAATACTACTGCATTGCAAGAAATACATGGTAACTCTTTCCCATCAACCTTGTCCATCATTCTGTACTATCCAGAGACTTATCATCCCCTTATTCAGAGATCTAGATAATTTATGAGTGCATTGAGAATTGGAAGTCTTACCTGGTCCCCCTCTCTACTGTAACAATAATTAAGAATCACAACAGTTTTCCCTTCTAAATACTAGCATCATCCACATATATTTCAAATAGCACTTAAAGAATTTTATTTAAATATAAATATGCCAGAACTCCTTCTAGATCTTGCAAAAAAAAAAAATTAAGGGAAAAGAAACTGTACTGAAAATAATAATTTTATATGCAACCTAAAAAACTATGTGTGAGACCTAAAAAGCATGGAAATACCTCTTGAAAGACCACAGGTCCATACATTCTATTTGAAGAGTCAGGAAATTAACATCTACGGATAAGATTGTGCTTACCTATATTCCTGATGAATGACAAAATCAAACACTTGCACTCCTGAAGTAAAGGAGTAAAACCTCTGTGACCTTTAGATCAGATATCTGATCACATTTCAAAGAATGTTGTCGCTTGTAACTCTCTCTTCCTGAAATTGTTTTCTAGGACTTTCTTCTGGCTTATGTCAGGAATACCTGCTATAATGGGGAAAAAATGTTAATACAAGTATTAAAAATAAGTAAAATGCGACAACTCAAAAAATACAAAACATGCATTCTGCAAACAGTCTACACCTGAGGAGGAAGTGGTACAATTTACTGCTGTCAGATCATTATTTAGCATTATCATTACCTCCTTATCACATTTTATTAGGCCATTAACTCGGAAGATTCTCCCCACATTCTCAACAGAGCGAAGTGCATAGACATACAGCTGTATGTCCCGTTTCAAAGGGCACGGTATTAAATCTCCCTCCTTGCTGACTAGGCTTGAAAGCAGAGGAAGATCAAGCACCAGAGAACGTTTCCCACGCTCCGCGTCCTGCGGCTGGGGAGGTCCGGCGGGCCGGCCCGGGCGCGGCGCTGCCGCCGGCGGCCGCTGGGGGCTCCCGCCGCCCGCGGCCCGTCCCGCCATTGCTGGCATGGAGGGCGAGAGCACCTCGGCCCTGCTCTCGGGCTTCGTGTTCGGCGCCCTCACCTTCCAGCACCTCAGCACCGACTCAGACACGGTGGGTGCCGAGCCACGGTGGGGGAGGGCGGCTCCGGGTCGGTGGAAGAGGAGGGAGGGGCGGGCCGCCCCCGCCGCGCTGCCGCCGGGCCTCCCCCGCCCGGCCCTGCCGGGAGAGCGCCCGGGCGCGGGGCTGTCCCGCCGCGCCGGAGCCGCTTGGTGCGCGGGCGGCGGGAAAGCGCGGCTGTTCCGCGCTCGAACCAGGCGAGCGGCGGCTGCCGCGCCGTGCCCGCCCGGGCAGAGCGCAGCGCCGGCCGGGCCGCCGGCTCCAGCCTCCCGCACGGCCGCGGACTGCTCGGGCTCAGCCAACGCTGGAGCCACCGCAAACCCACCAAGACACAGCACTGCCTCGCTGAGGATGTCTTCCTAACTGCGGGCTAGTATTAGAAAATGAGTGAGAACCCGCTCTGTTAAAAAAAAAAAAAATAGAAAAAGTTCGTTTTGACAGCATTTTTCCTCTCCTGAAACAGCACTCACACTTGGTATTACAGAAAATTATGATAGAATATGCTGAGTTGGAAGGGACCCACGAGGATCATGTAAGTCCAATTTCTAGCCCCCACACAGGACACTCCAATAATCCCACCACGTGCCTGTGAGAGTAGTGTCCAAACCCTTTGGTGCTGTGACCACTTCCCTAGGGAGCCTGTTCCACTGCTCAAACACCTTTCTGGGGGAAAGCCTTTTTCTCATATCCAGACTAAACCTCCCCCAACTCGGCTACATACCATTCCCTCCAGTCCTGTCACTGTCGGTGGAGGGAAGAGACCAGTGTCAGTCGCTCCACTTCTCCTCTTGAGGCAGCTGTAGAATACAATGAGGTCTCCCCCTAACTACAGACCAAACGGCCTCAGCCACTCCTGCTGTGGCTTCCCCACTGGATCCTCCACTATGTTTCCAGCCCTCCTTTGGACACTTTCTAATAGCTTTGTATTTTTCTTACATTGTGGCACCCAAAACTGCACACAGGACAGGGGGTGAGGCCACACCAGCACCGAGGAGAGCAAGAGTGTCTGTTCAATGCTACTGTTAATGTGATTGTTTTTTTCCTCTTCCCCTCTAAAGGAAGGTTTTCTCCTTGGAGATGTGAAAGGTGAAGCCAAGAACAGCATTACAGACTCACAAATGGATGATGTTGAAGTTGTTTATACAATCGGTTAGTGTGTCCACATTTTTCATAGCCTGCTTTGTTTTGGACAGTAAATGGCAGCTTTCAGTTTTGAGGGACAGCAGTCCACAGCAAGATCAAAGCTCCAAGATCCTATATGTTTCACCGATGTAAAAAAAAAAAAAACAAAACAAAAAACCAAAAAACACCAAACCCAAACAACCAAAAACACATAGAAGGGTTATTTTGTAACATTTTAACTGCTAAAAAGATTACCATTTTACTGCAGAGAGCACAGTAATTTAAAAGAAATAACAGTTCCTAGTTCCTTGGATGGCTACTCTTCGCCAAATATCTTGTTACATTAAATGTAACTTAGGGTTTAGACTCTTGTCTTGACTACATCTCAAACTCTCCTGGACTACAGCTGCCCTAGAAAATCTTTGTCTATTAGTGATGTGAACTGTAATATATTAGCATCTGTTACCTCATTTGGAGCTTATAAAATTATGTGTGTGAAGGCAAGCTCTTTAATAATTTCACTAAGCAGATGCCAGATGTATTTTCTGTTATCATCTTGATGTGATTGGAGTGGATGTGCACTGAATAACTCAAGTGAAATTCTTCATACTACATATTTCTCCTTCACCTAACAGAAAGGAGAAAACTATGAAGCTTGATTTTTTCAGTTGACATAATAGAAAAGTATACAAAAAATACAGTTTATATAAGTGGTTCCCTTTACATTTGACAAAATTAATTAGAACATATTTTAAAATATTTCCTTTCTTCGCCTTACTTAATGTTATGTTAATGCATTTAATTTTAAGAAATTATATAAAATTATTTCTTGGTCCTTCTATCAGTTTCATGTTGATCATAGCATGCAGAAGAATATACATGTTGAGCTAATGAACGCAGAGTAATGTTACCTTCTCTTTCCAGACATACAGAAGCATATTCCATGCTACCAGTTATTCAGGTAAGAATCTTAAGGAAATGGATACTGAAAAGTTAAAATTAACCCTAACCTGAATTCTTCAGGTGTTAAATTTACATTGCCTAAGAAAATCACCCAGCTGTAACTATAGTAGCTCTATCAACCTTTTGGAATTGCAGATGCAAAATGCCTTATGCTATTCCTATTTTGCTTCTTTATGTCTTTTTTTTTTTTTTAATGTTTGTCTATGCATATAGAAATAGAGATAAGGCATACTGCACCTTCTGGTGACCTACGATACCATATAAACTACAGAACAATGTCAACACACTGAAAAAAAGAGTATTCCATACATTCTAACTCCTCACCCTTAATAGTATTAATTTTTTTTTTAAAGTAAGATGATTCTCAGCACACTATTTTTCCAGTCTAATTTCTTCCCCTCTAATTGTCCTAATTTTCTCTAGCTTTTATAACTCTGCAGGAGAACTGAATGAACCTGCCCTGAAGAAAATACTATCAGGCTGTAAGAAGGTATTTTAATCTTATATCTAAACCATACTGAGGATCTCACTCAAATTTTGGAGGCTGTTCTGATTATCTCTTGCATCAAGGTTTTTTCCTTTCTCATTTTAAACTTTTATAGTCCCTCATTCTGCTGGTTGAGGCAGCTACATCCTTTTCCTCCCTAAAAAACAGTTTAGCTTATCTTTGACTAGGATTTGCCTACATACGTGTCACAACCTTATTTTGAATTATTCATTTTCTCAAGTGAACACTTCAAGGATCCCAAAGGAATTACACCAATTTCCACCTTAAGATCAGTTGAGGTCAGCTCACAAGTGGTTAAGGACCACTTCATCAAAAGAAAATAAACTTTTTTCCACAGAACAAAGTTTTACAAGGGGAAAGTAGAAGCTGAAAAGAAACAACAAAACAGAAGAAAGCTTGCAATTTCAACTAGATCACAGGCTAAGAAACAGACCAATTCAACACATGGTTTTGAAGGAAAGAAGATGGGAATTAGGCTTAGAAGTTTTAAAGGTTTCAAGTAACTAACTGCTTGACTATGCACCCACTAGCAAACAATTCAGACATGACTTTGCACTGAATGAAACTTGCTTCAGTGACACACAGGGAACCATGATTCAACAGTAACTGTGAATTTTCTTCTGCCTGCAGAGTGTAATAGGATGGTACAAATTCAGACGTAACACAGACCAGACCATGACATTCCGGGAAAGAGTTCTTCATAAAAACCTGCAGTCACACCTATCAAATCAGGGGCTTGTATTCCTCCTTTTAACCTCTAGTGTGATGACTGAAAGTTGTTCTACTTACAGATTGGAGCATGGTCTACATCGGCCTCAGGAAGGGTAATGTCTACAGCATGTGCTAGAACTTGAAAGTTTCTCTACTTTGTTGCAACTGAATTAATAACACTGTTTATTTTACCTTTGAAACTTAAACTTTTAATAAGATTATTCCTTTTGTTGCCACAGCCCAGTTGAATTCCACAGCCTTGGAATCTATTCTGGGATTGCCCTTTTTATCTGTAGCACCAGCATCACCAAGCAGACACTGTCAGTTTATTTACACACATAAGCTACTCCTGATCAAATTGTTTTGTGTACAGGACTTCAACCATATATGGTGTTCATCAAAATATTCAAATTGGTGTTAACTTTATCTTCAGAGATATTCTGCTCACAGGCTACGCTTACCAAGCAAATGTTGCATTAATGTTTGTTGTAGTTAGAAAGAGGAGAAATTACGGGCATTGATCAGCTTCTGGATGCTCTTAGAGTTTGCCTTTAGCCTCATCTGTATGTGATATGATACATTTAGCAAGGATTAGCAAGGGTAATCCTCCCCTCAGATCCTGAATGGCCAAGAACATTCAACTTTCAATGAGACACCTTTGAATATTAATAGATCATGTTTTCACACTTACGCATTTTAAGTCTTTTCCAGAAAGTCCCTTTGGTTGTTACCAACTTGGGCATGGCAGAACAGCAAGGTTACAGAACAGTGTCCAGTTCCTGTGTATCCTCTGGTTTTGTGAGAGCCGTGAGACAACACAGGTACAATATGTGTTGTATTTACTGACAGCTGTAGCTTCCCACTACCACAACTACACTTACCTTTCTATAAAAGCAAACAAGTGCTTTTATAAATGCTGTAGCCATACCTTGTTTCATCTGCTGACGTGTTTTCTACAATTACTTACCATTCTAGCATACCAGGCAATTCAGTCCCTTATTTTGCCAGGAGCTGTCTGTCTCAACACAGGCATCTGGCACTGAAGTTCAAAATGCTTCTTTACTCACTAAACTCCTACTAAGTAAGCACTGGGATCACTAGCTTCCAATTATGCCATTCTACTCCTGGTTGCAGGTCAGAATTCTTCCATGAAG